CTGTTGTTAATAAAAAATGTGGATTATAGCAGCTTTAGTGATTCAGCTATATTAAGTAAATTGCAAAAAAATTAAAGAAGCAGCAAAGACCTGAAATGTTTTTTAAACCCATAACATTGAATGAAATTACCTTTTTTATTACCTCATATTTTCTTATTTCTCTCTATTCCAATATATATTTTTTCCTACTGAATACAAAGAGCTCCCTGTATTTACCTTATACCTACTGTTTATATGTGTCATGTTTACATTTTTACTGTGGTTTTACTGTGTAAAAATACTTCCAGTCAAAACATGCAGTCAGTAAGGTGCCAAACATTTAAGAAAGGTACCAAATTGTTTTTTAGACTTTCATATCAGTAAAGTTTGGTGTTACTGTCTCTTATTTTACACGACTCTTACAGTTTTGCACACTTATTTACTATAGTAAATTAAAAAATGTCCATTAACCTACATGCATTATTTATCACCAGTTATTCAGTATGAAAACTAAGATGAGGTGTGATTACTAAATTCTTGTGTTTATAAGTATGTAGCATTCCCACCCCTTTAGTCTATGTCAGATAACCATGGATTGTGTATAAAAAGCAAATAACCCAATGAGCAGTCCACTAATACACTGTGTTAATAGGATTGTGACGAGTGATTTAGTCCCCTGAGGCTCCATTCACATGTTCAGCCACAGTCAGGTGTTACCTGCCTGAGGGACAGACATGAAGGACCAACAGCTTCCTGGTAAATGTATCTGCTTTATACTCTTTTCTAATATTTCTGACTCTGCTGATTTGTAGAAAAGTTAGCAGAAAGTACTGTATTGTTTAAAATGTGAGTACCATTGTGTAATACGACAGTCTTTAGAGTCTGTAAGCTCTGTTTTCTGGCTTCATCAATGGGACATTATTTACTCATGCTTTATAGGTCAGTTATAGACCATTAAAAAGAGCAACTTTGGGGTTGCCAAGTGATACTTATATTTGTCCTCCAGCATGACATGTGCTTTGTCTCCTTAGCTTTTTAATTCATCAGTAAGATGGATCATTGTAAACCCTCTATTAACAACTTATTAACATTTACAGTTGGTGGCTTATTAGAAAGTAAAAAAAACAACATATTAGCATTCATTTATGGTTTACCAATATTTAATGCATTGCTACCAAATAGAAAGAATAAACACCAGCCAAATGTATTTTACATTACCTGGCAATGCAAATCCTCTTCCTGGGGATGGCCTCTGACCAATCTGCACTTGCCTAATTATTATTAAACTGCATAACGTCTGTGTGGCTACTTAATATACATCCATGTTTAGCCCCAAATTGACTGGTGTACATGGAAAACAATTATGCGGAGGTTTTGAATGGCTACACATTAAATCCTAAATTCTACTATTGCAGTCCAAGTACAAATTGAGACCCACTAATACAGTGTCTAAAAGAAGCAATTAATCCTGGTCACTTTGAGAACTGAGCCTGCCACAGGCTAAATTTAGATGACCAGCCATCAGACCAGGATGAGGTACAGTATTCTTACACTGTTTTAACCATTGGCTACTTTATTTAACTCATCAACCAGTTCTTCTACTTCTGTCATTTCAAGAGGTTATACCTCATGTGCTCTATAAGACACCCACACAGAGCTTAAGCCCTGATGTATGAGCAACCTGACCCTATTCCTGTTTGCACTATGTAACACTGACACATTAATAAACAATTTCCCTTGAAGACAAAAGAAATGTGGTGTAAGCTTTACATAAAAAGAAAGTCAAAATACTTTCCTGTTTTAGGAAAAGGTTGAGAAAGCCAGATTTCTGAAATGTGCTGAGACTTTAGAACTGTGTCCAAAGAATAAGACCTGTTCCTAGAACAGAAAAAAAAACAGGAAAGGTCGACACATCCTGCTTTTGTCCATCATTAAATACATAAAAAAAAAAACATGAAATTCATTTATCACAGTCCAAAACATATGAGCCTGTCCAGACCTATGAAGCTGATAAGATACTATTCACAACAACAACACTATAAAGGTGTTGTAAGTCTTTGTCAAATAAAATGCAAAAAGGAGAGATTGCTATGCATCCTGGGAATAGTTTTTATTGTCAGTTCATTACTTCACTGCATGTCTGAAATAAAAGGATATAACATTAGTACATATTTATATTTGCAAATTAACTTAAAATCTTCATAACTAACAGTTAGTATTTACTTCCATCTCAACAGACACCAACAACTTATGAAAGAAACACAAACTAAGATGCAGGTTAGGGTTCTTGTAAAAGAGGCCAGGCGTTTTATCACAAATACAGGACAAAGTAAGATAACAATGAGGTGAGTCTTATTATCAGTGTTCTAGGGCAGTGACAGTACTTGTCTGCATATTGACTTCTGTAAAGCTGCGTTTCCACCAAAAGTACCTGGGACTTTTTAGTCCCTGGATCTCTTTTCAAGGAACTAAAGGGTTCCTTCAGCATACTGTTGTGTGCGTTTCGACTTGTGTTAATTTTGTCAGCCATTTCAAAATTTAGTCTTAGTCTTAGTCCTGTGTCAAATTTCCTTGTTAGTTTTTGTCATATTTAGTCCACTGTATACTATTTTTTTATTCAAGTTTTAGTTGACTAAAAGTCTGGGTATTTTAGTCTAATTTTAGTCAAAAGAAAATCAAAAGTATTTTAGTCTAGTTTTAGTCATTAACCATCATCGTCTTTTCTAACTCATTAGTATAATTTTGATTAGTATTTTGGTCAATCTGCTCTAGCCAAAATAGAGATATTTCTGCTTGTCGTCACTAAATATTACTGCTCCTCTAAAGGTTAGGCCTACGTCTAAAGCTAGTAAGCAACCCTGGATAAATGACAGCATTCGCAGCCTAAAAAGGGAATGCAGGAAAGCAGAGCGCAGATGGAAAAAATCCAGTCTCCAAGTCTATTACCTCGGTCTGAAGGATTTATTAATTAACTACAATAACATGGTTAAGGATGCGAGAACACACTATTTTTCTTAACCCATTACTACACATAAACACAACCCCAGGTTTCTGTTTAAGACTGTGGATCAGCTGGTAAACCCAACCCCTCCTTGTGCCTCAGCTAGAAGTAATGATGACTGTGAATTGTTTTTATCTTATTTTACCAATAAGGTGGTGTCAATCAGAGCCTCTATTACCCCCGCGGCCTCTTACTCAGAGTTTCCTCACCAGCAACAAGAGAGTTTTAACCAGTTTTATCCCATCGACTTGTATGAGCTTTTAAAAACAGTATCACAAATGAGAGTGTCCTCCAGCCCACTTGATGTAATACCTACAAAGTTTTTACTGAAAGTAATAGATTCTGTTGGGCCCCATTTGATCTCTGTTTTCAACAGCTCCCTATCTACTGGTTGTGTCCCTGATTATTTTAAAACGGCTTGCATGAACCCACTTTTAAAGAAACCTGGTTTAGGTCCCTCCCTCCCACATAATTTTAGACCAATTTCAAAACTGCCTTTTATTGCAAAGATTCTAGAAAGAATTGTGTCCAAACAGCTGCTCACTGTACTGGAAAATAACAAATTATTTGAAAAGTTTCAGTCTGGTTTTAGGAAGTAGCACAGCACTGAGACTGTCTTGCTTAAAGTCACCAATGACCTTTTTATGTCTGCTGATGAAGGCATGTGCTCAGTCCTGGTATTCCTGGACCTTAGCGCTGCTTTTGACACCATTGATCACAACATCATGTTAGACAGACTGAGGCACTGGGTGGGGATCTCTGGTACGGCCCTAGAATGGTTTTCATCCTACCTGTCAAATAGGAAGTTTTGCGTGTCTGTAAACAACTATGTCTCTTCGTTCTGTCCAGTTAAATATGGTGTGCCTCAGGGGTCGGTCTTAGGACCCATTTTGTTTTCCTTGTATCTGCTTCCCCTTGAACATATTATCCAAAAACATGGCATTTCTTTTCATATTTATGCTGATGACACACAAATATACTTGCCCGTCAGATCCACAGACCCTGGAATGCTGAGTTCACTTAACAACTGCCTTTGTGAAGTTAAAAAATGGATGTCAAATAATTTCCTCCAGCTGAACTCAGACAAAAAGAAATCCTGGTCATCGGGTCCCAGCAGATGGCAAAACAAATACTGCCATCTGCTGGTTCCCTAGTAAATCACATTAAGCCTGTGGCAAAGAACCTTGGTGTTTGGTTTGATAGTAATTTAAATTTTGAGCAGCACACCACAAAGCTTGTTCAATCATGTTTTTATCAATTTAGAAATATAGCAAAAATTCGATCTATGTTAACTTTTAAAGGACACCGAGACCATTTTACAAGCCTTCATCTCATCACGCCTGGATTATTGCAACAGCCTTTTCACATGTTTAACCCAAAAATCTATTGATCGACTCCAGACTGTCCAGAACTCAGCTGCCAGGCTTTTAACCAGAACAAAGAAATATGACCACATTACTCCTATTTTAGCTTCATTACACTGGCTCCCAGTATGTTTTAGAATTTAATTTAAAATTTTATTGATCACTTTTAAAGCTCTTCATGGCCTCTCGCCTTGTTATATCACTGAACTTTTAGTCCCATACACACCAGCACGTACCTTGAGATCCTCGGGCAGAGGTCTGTTGTCTGTTCCAGAGTCTCGACTGAAAACTAAAGGGGACAGAGCGTTTGCTGTCAGGGCCCCGAGGCTCTGGAACAGCCTGCCCAAGGAAATCAGGTCAGCTAAGTCAGTGAACTCTTTTAAGCCCCTTCTTAAAACATACTTTTATAGGAGAGCCTTTCCCAATCTTATTTGATTTTATTTTATCCCTTTTATTTTATTCTATTTTACTAATTTTATATTTATCTTAAACGTGTATTTTAGTCTTTTCAATGTTTTCATGCTTTTATCTTGTATTGTTTTTGTATTATTGTCTTTTGGGTATTGTCTTTACACTTGTTAAAGCACTTCGTAACTTGTTTTTGAAAAGTGCTCTACAAATAAAGATTATTATTATTATTATTATTATTATTATTATTATTATTATTTATTATTTTTCATATTTGTCTTTATTTCACTCATCTCACATATAGATAAATTGTTTTGTAAAATTTGAATGTTAGCTTTGTTCTCATTGTTATTGCAAAGGAGACATTCATTTACTTCAATTCACCAGTGTTTAGCCATGATATGCTGCTTCAAGTTTTTTGTGTTTTTCGCAAAAATCTTAAAACCACATTGCTTGCCGTCTGACATAATTAGGCACTCATTTTTTTTGTCCGCCTCACTGTATTTGAAATGGGACCAAATATCTAAGTGCCTATTTCTCCCTAGCATGCTGTGTTCATCACCATAGTTCACATCCTCCAGTAACGTTTTCCTCGAGCACCAGAATGAATGAATGAACACTGTTCAAGTGAAAATTCCGAGGGAGAAAATATGGCCTGTAATATTTTGTCTCCTCATTATACTGACAAAAAGATATTTTAGTAACGTTTTTATTTTATGGATTACATTTTAGTCTCGTAATTTTTCGTCAACAATATTGCATGTTAAGATAGTCACAGTCAGTGTTTAAGTACATTGTTTAAGTAACGTCTCGTCATCGTCTCGTTATAGTCATGGAAAAAAAGCTCGTTGACCAATATATTTCCAAAGTAACACTAGTTTCCACCGTGGTCCAAAGACCTGCGAAAATTAGGCAAATTAACCAGCTGGCGTATATGCCTTACAAAGTGATGGACTGGCATCGTTATTTAGTAACACCGATCCATGAGCAAAATTTACAAATGAAAATCAGATTTGATTGGAGCCATCATGTTCTTAAAAGAACCCCGGCACAGAGAAAGAAAAGCAAACATAAAATTGCAACAGTGTGGAAGGTCATTTCCAGTCGACAAGAGCTGCTGATCAACTGCAGCACTCACATCTGTGTCAACCTGAGCATTGGGGGAATGTGATTTTTAACGAGCTTGATTACCTGCTGTAATTAGCTGGACCATTTGTTTTGGAGAGGAGGAGACCGACTTCGGCTCAGTGTAGAAACCTCCTGACTGATGAAAACTTAAAACAACAACTTTGGACACAGTATTTAGCATAAATCCATCCATAGACACACCGCTGCACTCTGGCTGCTATTTCCGAGCTCTAAATAAAATACCGCAGCAGACTTGTGTTTGCTATCTGACTGTTGATTGTGATTTATTGGTGTGCAAACAACGGTGGAAACGAGAGGTACAGTAGCAGAAAAAAGCCAACATGCTAGATTTAAAGCCAGTAACCTCTACTCGTCCATTCAGAAATTCATTGCGTTTCCACCGCAATGAATTCCTCCAAAGGTTCCTAAAAGGTTTGTTTGGCGGCTTTAGACTTCAATAGTCAATGGTACAAATAAACTTAAGAGGGTTTCCGGCTAACATTTCCCCCAACAAAAGCAATGTCGCCAAAGTACATTGATACATTACTGTTGTCTAATTTTGTTATGTGGAACAGGGTCCACATGCTTCTTTCAAACACTGGTGCTGACTGATTTTTTCAGGCCTCTGCAAAGCCACATCTCTGCTCTGCTTTCAAATGATTTCTTGATTCTTAAAATGCTCTTAAATGTCTTTTCCAGCCATCAAAATGCGCCTATGGCCAAAGCAGAAAGTGGGCAAAAAATCCAAAGATGAGGCTCCAAAGGTGGAAAAGACAGCCAAGGCCCCTTCTGCTGCTGCCATATGTGCCATCCCACCGCTGTCCGAAGCAGAGAGAACTAAGCAGTCACCGTTTGAAAGGATTGTCTATGACATGGCGCACAACGAGAAGGTCGTCAACGACCTGATGCTCGGTCGAAGAGTTGGTTTCTACGAGCTGCGTGGAGATATCGGGCAGGGAAATTTCTCTACAGTCAGGTTGGGCATCCATGCCTTGACGAAAGGTCAGGAGCCATGAGTTATTTTTGTGGTTTTATCCCATTTATTCATTCATTTCTCATGTTGGTCTTTTGCATCCAGTTGACTCCTTGCTCAACTTTGACAAACTATTTTGCTTTGAAAGCATAAAGCTACAGTCATGTGACTCTGTGCAAATCATGTTTAGCTCCCAAAGACTCACAACAGCAAACATGCAGCATGCAAAACACAACAATAAAAATGTATATATACATTTTGTAGAAGTAAAACAAATGTGCACAAACAATCCTACATTTAGTGCCTCTGTAAATATGACTCAATATCACTTACAAGTTCAGTGTGTAAGTTTTAGTGGCATCTAGTGTTGAGGATTGTGAATTGCAACCAATGGCTCACTCATTGTACCCCCCCACCCCCACCCCTCCCGACTCCCTTTCCAAGCGCGTAATAGAAGCTATGGTGGCCGACATGATTTGTTGTGCTTAATGATATTTGTGCAAATTTACTTATCTTCTTACTTCTAACAAACCAGATAACTATTATTACATTTATTTTTATATTATTTATTTTATTTTTATTATTACAATTATTACCACCAATCATTACCACCTTTTTCATCTTCTTCTTTGTATTTATTCAATGTAGTAACAAAACACGCTCTTTAAAGCAGTTTGTCCATTTGGGCTACTGTAGAAAAATGACTGCGCAACATGTAAAGGGACCCACAGTGTATGTAAATAGAAATGTCTCATTCTAAGGTAAAAAACGGTTCAACTTAACGGTTCATTATGTAAGGTCTTTATACACCACTGAAAACATAGTTATGGATATTATATTGCATTTCTGTCAATAGATCATCCTAAATACACTGGACCTTTAAACTAAAGTAGTCTCTTTTGTAGTAAACTCTAAATAAATCCTCTATCCAAAATAAAGCACATTCCCTCCTGTCCAGTCTGGGCAGATGCACTTTAACCTTTCTGTTATTTACACAGTTACACATTGCACATGAACAATATTACAGGGTTGTGAATTATGTTCAGGTCAGTAGATCCTCTGAATGAGCCTTTCTGAACACCCCAAATCTGTCCCGACTCATGCAGTGCATTTATTTTCTCTTGACAATTACGTGTGTGTGTGTGTGTGTGTGTGTGTGTGTGTGTGTGTGTGTGTGTGTGTGTGTGTGTGTGTGTGTGTGTGATAATGCTGCAACAATCTTTCAATTAAATTCAATGCCAAAAAAACATTCCTTCAGCCTTCTCCTCGTGTGCATGTAACAATGGCAACCATCTCCCTATTTTCTCATGTGTATAAATCTTTTAAGTAAGTCTCTGTCCTCACTCTCACCTGTTCACTAAAGCCTCATCTCCTCTTCTGTCTCAGAGCGAGTAGCTATCAAAGTCATGGACAAGCTGCGTCTGCATAAGAAGAACCAGCCGCTGACTTCCTCAGAGATCAGCTGCATGGAGAAGCTGTGCCATCCCAACATAGTGCGGCTTTACGAGGTTTTTGAGACCAGCAGGAAGCTGTATCTGGTGATGGAGTATGGCAGTGGTGGAGACCTGTTCACCCGAATCACCACCAGGGGGAAGTTGAACGACCTGGAAACCAAGCTGATCTTTGCACAAGTCATGTCTGCTGTTAAACACATGGTGAGCTTCGGCCTCAGTCTTAATCATCACCCCCTGCACAGCACTGTGCTCAATCAGTGCCGCATAGTCGTGGATATTACTATGATTCATATGACTGAGGTATGGAAAGTAAAAAAGGGCTGATTATTAATTACATGTATAAAGTATATTTACATGCACACATTACAAGTGCCACAAGTTTTATTTTGTATGGACATTTTTGCCCTTTTTGCATAGTTTATGGTACAGAGGTGACAAGGAATGAGGGGAGATGATAACAGTTTCTCAGCCAGCCATAAAGCCTTGTGATTACATGGTCAGAGTCTTAATCAGAATCAGAAATACTTTATTTTAAATTCTTTTGTCACAATTGCGCTTGTCAAAGTTAGATAGATAAAGAACACCCCTCAGATAGATTAACCATTCATTATGAATTAATCTGTTGATAATTTTCTCCATTAATTGATTGTAAACAGTTTGAAAATAGTGAGAAATGTTGTCACAATCGACCAGAGCCCAAAGTGACACCTTCACATAGCTTGTTTTGTCTGTATGTGTATTATCATGTGTATTATTAAAAAGATACATTCAAAAAACTAAAAGGAAAAGCAGCAAATCTTCACATTTGTGAAGCTGGAACCATAAACTGTTTTTACATTAAGCATTACTTAAACTAAGCAAAATATTTCCCAATTAAAATCAAAACATCTTATTTAAATGTATTTATTTATTTATTTTAAACTCTTGATATGTTTTGTGTGTAAAAATCTTGCCTAAAGTAACTAGTAACTGAAGCTATCAGATAAGTACAATGTTTCCAATTAGGATGTAGTGGAGTAGAGGCTGAAAGTGGCATGAAAAGAAAATACTCAAGTAAAGTACAAATACCTCTTTTTACTTAAGTACAGCACTTACAGTAGTAAATATACTAAATTACCATCCAGTAATATCATACATATTTTTAGAGTCATAAAGTAATAATAATATAATAAACATTTCCCTCAGAAATGTAGTGAAGTAGAAGTAAATGCACCAATAATAATAATAATAATTGATAGAATGCTTGGTATGAATGTGTCACTAATCCAATTAGAGGGATTGTTAACACTTTTTTTCCTTTAAGCATATATAATGTAGCAAACAGAACCCTTACTGAGACTTTCCCCATTTTGTATTTTTCAGCATGAAAACAACATCGTCCACAGAGACCTTAAGGCGGAAAACATCTTCTACACCACCAGCTACTGCATCAAGGTCGGAGATTTCGGCTTCAGTACAGAGAGCGGCCCTAATGAGCTCCTCACCAATTTCTGTGGCTCTCCCCCATACGCTGCTCCTGAATTGTTTAAGGATAAAGGTTACATTGGACGCCATTCAGATACCTGGGCTTTAGGTATTCTCTTGTACTTCATGGTGACGGCCACTATGCCCTTTTTTGGGGACAACCTGGGGAGGCTCAAGCGCTGCATCCTTCAGGGGGCCTACAGTATCCCTGATTATGTGCCCAATCCATGCCAGCTTGTCATTAAGGGCATGCTGCGGCCTGTCCCTGTTGATCGCTCTTCTCTCACACAGATTGCAAACAGTGCTTGGCTGAAGGGGATTGAGTACCCTCGTCCGCACGTCTTGCTGCCTCTGACCCCGGCCCACTTTGCTCAGGCCAACCAGGATCTGTGTGTGGAGGAGCAGGAGGTGAAGGATTTGCTGTCAGATCTGGGTATTGTGACATTCCACTTCCAAAACAATCCCTGCTTAGACTGCAGGAGCCCACTGACGGGGACCTACCGGATCCTTCTCCATCAGGTCCAGAAGAAGAGGTCAGTGGAGGCCGTAGGTTACACAGCATTTCAACCTGAGGATTTTGGGAGTAAGAAGAAGTGGTCTGTAGCATCTGTGGACAAACACACTCCTTCGGCTGTGTGTGTTGTACTGTAATGAGAAATAACTGGACTGGAATTTAGTTGTGGTGGCTACACTGGATCACATACACATGTGCCCATTTACTCCCAGGCAGTCCTTCAATGACTTCAAGCTCCCTTAACCAGTAAGGCATTATGTTACATGTTGAGAAGAATTCAAGTTGTTTTGTGCAAAACTTGACACATGGAGGTTGGAGGGTTCTTCTGCTCCACACTGTAAATCACTTACAGCTTACAGATTAGAGCACCTAGCTATGGCTCTCTGATTATGTCACCAACCACAAGCTTACTGACGCAAACCATTCATCAATCACTGTATGGCCATCAGCATCTTCCAATCCTTCTTAGTGCATACATCTACTGAACTAATCCAAGGCCATGTGTAATCCTTATAAGGGAGACTCTGAGAACATGCTTAGTCCAACAAAATGAAACCTGAGACTATGGCTAAAAAAAATATGTATGGGGAAAGAAATACTTTTGAGCAAAATTAGGACCACATGAGGCCAGAACAACAGACCTGAAAGCCAGTCTGCAGCCATATTAAATATTTTTAAACACAGAAACTGATGCCTAAAATGCCTTCATGTAATGTAGATATTTATTAAATATTTATGATTGTCAAAATGTCTGAAGTACACAGAAGTTTTGCACAGTCTTAAAACAAATTTGGTTGATATCTGTGTTAAGTATTATGCTAGTGTTTTATGGCAATATTTTTATAAATTTATGACAGATACTGGCCTGAACTTCCTGTCACTCTGTATTAATAATTATACCATTGAGTAAGACCAAATTAATTTGGAATAAAACAATTTTCAAACAATGATTTATATTGTTTCCTCTGAAATCACCTCATCTTTCCTTCCAGCAAGAGGCATTTTATTACGGGATAAAATGATTGTCTTTTTCTGGTACAGGCAAGCCTCAAACCAAGATTTCAACTGTTTACAAAGAGATTTCTACTGTTTCTAGTGTTGAATGTTTCCCTGCTCCATTACAAGCCCTGGAGTTTAATAAAAACCTGAGGACTCTTGAGGCAGTTTGCAGGAAAATTGTTTTGGACCCATCTCAAGCACTTTCAGTGAAAGAGCTGATGATGAAATATGATGTATCTGTGAACTCAAAATGAAGAAATATTAAGCTGTGAGTTCATTTGAGTCTGTCGCACTTTAATATTCATAATTCATTCCAATCTGGGAAGTCTTTCTCCACCTAATCAGTTCATTTCCACTTTGCCACTCACTTGTGAGAACCCCTCAAGGCTACAACAGTTTCTGTGAGCCAGGCATTACTTTTTCCATTTACCGTCACCGCGCAACTTAGTGCCAGTCTGCCAGTGTCCACACACACTTGCTGTGTTTCTGATTAGCTAGTGGCACTATGATAAGCATCATATTTTGCAATAAGGCAGTGAACCCCTAGCCTGTTCACACAGGAACGCGTAAACATTGTGTGGGCAGGAACAGACACAAAAAGAGATTATCAAAGTCTGTACTAGTGCCAAGGAGGAGTCTTGACTTGCTGTTTATTCAGGAAAACAGTTCTTGCTCAATATCACTGGTGTGAAAACCACTGTTATCATCTCCTCCTGAAGAATTATCATCCTTTAAACTGATAAAGGAAGCAGTCAGTAGTGGTCATTGTAACAGAACTGTCTGAAACTCCTATTTCAAGATAAATTTAAAATAAGCTGAACTGACGAATCGAGGAAAGTAAGTTGCTTTAAACAAGAGTAAATCATTTACTCTGAGGTGATCAAAGGTGAGTGACATGGCATGTCAATGGGGTACATTAAACGAAGCCTGTCTGTGATTTTAATGTGCATTTTTATTTATTGAAGAAGAATCACTTTAAAATGGATTAAGAATGTTTATTGTCTCTTAACAACTCATATAAATGCCACAAAAGACATTAAATCCATCTCATAATAATACATCCTTTGATCCAGTCACTAACCCCTGCATGATTAAAATCAAAAAGAGTAAAACTAAGTTTCAAGCATGAAAACAAACAGTTTTGTGTTTATATAAACTATTTACCTTTCCATATATCCTCTGGGATTATCATGATAGGCCAAGACATCAAACCCCATAAGCAAGTCAGCATTTTTTTGTAATAGTATTTGGCAGAGAAAGTGCAGCCTTGAGCTCTGGACGACAAATCTCTTCAGTTCATAAAAACACGGTTGAGATGGTTGCGAAAGAGTAACTTTGCCTTATAAAGACAATTTCCTTTTCAACGGAATGACTGGGAGGCTGTTTTAAAGAAACTGAAACTATGAAAATTTACTAGAGGTCTCACAAAGGATTACATTATATAGTACATTCATGTGATTGGATTGACCCATGGTAGTTTATGGTCCCTACTTGTATACAAGCACGAGTGGATAAACTGTGCTTTTGATCTTGATTTTTGTTTGATACCAGGAATTGAACTGCTAACTGTGGTCCTTTATTTGTGTTTATCAATGCATGCAGCTGCTTTATTTCATATTTTCTGCAATCAGTAGTAGATGTCAAAACTCTATGTTGTAATGTTCCAGAGACAGGAAATAATCGAAGCGTAAATGTCTTCAGATAGAGCACAACTGGAGCGAGATCTAACACGTCTCAGTAAGCTAATAACTCTATCACAGCAAACTGAAAATGTGCATCAGTTTTCAGGCATGCAGCACAGCAACTGCAGAAGTCTTCATTTGAAATGAGTCAAATAAAAACTGAGGTGAGGTGAGGTGAGGAGGAGAGAAACTGCTTCAAGGCTACAGTCAACAGCTGCAGTTCATCTTTTCCACATTTAGTGGGTCAGGATTTTCACACTAATGTTCTGAACCAAAAGATGGTCCATTGTGCAGCTAACTGATTAGTGTTTTGTTAATACCTAATGGTGTGAAAAGAAGGGCAATGGTAGCTCTGCTCTTCAGCCGTCCACACCTGCACTTTATGTTTTCTGTCTCAGCCTCGTTTCTTGTTCCATACCATGCCTACTGTAAGACAGACACTGAAATTTTGATGTTGATTACTGCAATGCTAAAGTATGCAAACCTTTATCTCACCAATTCATCTGGAGAAATGTAACAGAACTGAGACACATTTCAGCCTGTTAGACAAAATAACTTCTGATCTACAGGCACCACACATCGTGGAGCACATGTCGAATTGAAAGTGTTGTGAAAGAATTGATTCACATCTGTTCAGAATATTCCAATACCCCCACTGCTGTCTTTTTTCTTTATTTTTTGGGTTATTAAAGTGAAAGTGAAAGTTAATCAGTTTTGCCCAGTCTTTGAGAGGTCACAATTTTGAAATCCTAATCTCAGTTCCAAATTGTGACGGTGTGTGTTGGGTAACAAACTAAAATGGCTGATTGACAATCATGCTGCTGTGTCCTAAATCCAGCCTACATACGCATTCTAAGCAGAGTATGAGTGTGTTCATACTGGAAAAGTGGGAAAAATGCGCTCAAAAAAGTCAACTCATATCCTAAAACTGCATCAATCTCGGAAGTGCTGGTGACGAACACTTTTTTCCCACTATGCAATGCACAAAGGAACTGGAGAAGCTGCTCACAGCTGGAGGATATTAAAAGTGATTGCAGATGGTGATTTATGTTGTTTTCTGAGGCATTTCAGCTCCTGAAATTACTTAGAAAATAAACAATAACTATTACATCTTTGGAAAAACATTTTCTCTCTGCTTATGAAGTTTAAAGGGCAACTTAGGTATTTTCCAACCTGGACCTCGTTTTCCCATGTTTATGTATCTATACAACTAATGTGGACAACATTAATTTGAAATTGGCGAGCATGCTGCAATGGGCAGCAGCAAAATCAAGGCAGCAAATTGCGCACCGTCAAAGTACATCAAGTAGTAAAGTATGATACTTTGACGGTGTGCCCCATCAAAACATGGGAAAATAGGGTCCAGGTTGAAACATACTAAAGTTACCTTTTGATTGACAATGGCTTCAGAATTTTAAAGTGTGTTGGTGTAAGTCTTATGTCACTTCCTGAGCACAAAATGGTAAAGTATGTTAATTTTGTTGTATACTGACTGCAGGAACAGTATACTGTCACGGACAATAGAATGCATGCTGGATGAAATAAGTATGCAGTATGGACTTAGGGTCAAGACTCTGCAGTCTACTTACATCTGAAGGACAGAGGACACTCGTTTGAGGACCACCAGGTGCACATTTTAGACAGAGAAGATGGATGGACAAGGAAGCCATCTACACCAGGGTTGAGAAGCCGTCATTGAACAGGGGAGGGGGTCTACGCCACCACTTATCCCCCACTTACAATGCTGTCCTTTCATCACTTCCCAGGAAACTCAACAAACGTAACCTATTGGCCTCAGGTGAAGATACCAACGATGGTCGTTCAGTCTTGGCCACAGGTAGTCCTAACGACTGTAACGACTGTCGTCACAGCAACAAGGAACACTAACGAACCAGCGGTATCAATGACCCGGGCCAACGACCCCACTGAGGTTAAATAGTTGAGTTTCCCTGCCAGTCAGTCAGAACTGAAGAAGTCCTTTGGATGAGGGACGAAACGTCTTCCAGTATCTTCAACCAAGTCCAGTTGCCCTTGATTTTAACCTTCGTTGGATGTGGATGAAAATGCCTTGTTGATGTCAGAGGTCAGAGGAGAATGGGCAGACTGGTTCGAGATGACAGAAAGACAACAGCAACTCAAATAACCACTCATTAAAACCAATGTATGCAGAATACCATCTCTGAACGCACAACACGTTGAACCTTAAAGCAGATGGGCTACAGCAGCAGAAGACCACACCGGGTGCCACTCCTGTCAGATAAGGACAGGTAACTGAGGCTACAATTCACACAGGCTCAACAAAATTGGACAATAGAAGATTAGAAAAACGTTGCCTGGTCTGGTGAGTCTCGATTTCAGCTGCGACATTCAGATGGTAGGGTCAGAATTTGGCCTAAACAACATAAAATTCATTCATTCATTCATCCTGCCTTGTATCAACGGTTCAGGCTGGTGGTGGTGGTGTAATGGTTTGGGGGATATTTTCTTGACACACTTTGGGCCCCTTAGTGCCAACTGAGCATTGTTTAAATGCGACAGCCTTCCTGAGTATTGTTGCTGACCGTGTCCATCCCTTTATGATCACAGTGTACCCATCTTCTGATGGCCACTTCCAGCAGGATAATGCACCATGTCACAAAGCTCAAATCATCTCAAACTGGTTTCTTGAACATGAGAATGAGTTCACTGCACTCCAATGGCCTCCACAGTCACCAGATCTCAATCCAACAGAGCACCTTTGGGATGTGGTGGAGTGGGAGATTCGTATCATGGATATGCAGCCAACAAATTTGCAGCAACTGTGTGATGCTATCATGTCAATATGGACCAATGAGGGCAAAAGGGGTCCAACCTGGTACTAGCAAGGTGTACCTAATAAATTGGCAGGGGAGTGTATATTTGTTGTGTACCCTGAGCTTGGAAAGCACTTTGGTCAACTAGGGTTGTTTTTAAATGTGCTATATTAATAAATTTAAACTTGAACTTGAAGTGATCCAATTCCAGTGTAAGTGATGTGGGACAAAATCCACAGTCCTTATTCTGTGGGGAAAAAAATTACACTAAAAAGTTTAACTGAAGCCAATATTAGGCTTCAGCAGGCTGAGTTAATCAAATCCAGAGAGTATCTTCCACAGTCACAGTTTTTCTAGTGTAAAATTCCCTCTTTGGGTTACTATCCCTCCACTGCAGCTCAGCATGAGAACACTGTCTGATGAAACACAAAGAAGAAATTTCGTCCTAAAAAGACTAACTTTGGGAGATATCCACTATGCATTCAGCTGAAGCCTCATAATAACTTCCTATAAACTTTTAAATACATTTTTATACTAAAGAAGACCCACTTATCACTTCTTTTGAAGCACATTGCGAAGGGATCACTTCACAGCCAGTATGGACAGGAGGAGTGGTAAAAGCTAGCGAGACCAGTTTTAATGTAAATGTGGGCACCTGACAAGTGACAGGTAAGACGGACTTAGCGGTACTAATTGTGAATTTATCCTATAATCCGGCCTTGTTGGACTGGATGGCTGAGAATCTTTGAAAAGATGGCAGATTTTTTACTTTTAAGTCAATGCTTTACCATCAGTTTTATCATTAGTTAATGAAAACCAGCTTTGCGGTCCCGAGAGCCAAGTGTTGACGGATGGCTCAAATGGATGCCAATTTAAGACTCAGTGAAAGATTATTGGACCAAAGCTAAGCTTGCTTAGTTCTATGGAAAGCCAGTGAAAATGGAGGAATAGTGCAACTCCCCTCTCAAAAATCAACCATGTGAATGTGATCAGATCTGATTTTAAACTGTGAGATGTCGTTTTCTGATTAAACTGGAGTTTGATTTGCACTTGCACCTTTATTTGATACAGAAAAACACAAATACAGTTATAATGATGATATAAAAATATGACAATCTGTTGTAAAAAAAAAACCCCAGCTTACGCCCAAAGTGTTTTTTACATATACATCACACAAACACGTATACACATGCACACAAACACAATCTGCTAATGCAATTAAAAACTGTGGCTCATTCCTAGCAGGCTCTACTTAGCACAGAGTAGTGAAGAGTATCATAACAGTGGCTCATATAGATGCAGTTTGCTATACTGGCTATAACAGTGAGGATATGAAGTCTGTGTACATTTACAATCTCTGTCAGCAACAGGAAATACTACATCTGCTGAAACATGATCCATCTGGTTAAAGGTGATATATGCTGCCTGACAGAGAGGCAAAAACGGCTCCACTCTCATTCTTCTCTCGCTTCTGTCCTGTTAGTGGTCTACAGAGACAAAAGTTTTATGATGAAGAATTTACACAGTCAATGAGTTGTCTCTGCATTAAATTGAAAGTGCGTTGTGTAACATTTTACCTAATTCTGCTTTTGGTTTCTCCTATCCACATTCACCATCAAATCCTGGACCCAATCTTCATTTGGATTAGCGCAGATAGTCCGCTGTTTTTTATGTTGAGGCCTCATCTTCATCAGAAACCTAAACATATCAGTATTATTATTTAATGGTATCAAATTTACTGAACAAAATTTAAAAGTAATCAAAGACAACAGTGCGCACAGTTGAAAGTGCTGCTCTGAGCTTGGATCAATAGCTTCCTTAAACAGGTTGTTTGTATTTCCATTAGTCTTTGCCAATTGCTTACAGTGGGAACTTTTGAAAATGCAGGAAAACAAAATGCTTGTTAAGGGCCAAAAGTGAAGGACACAATAGTTGCTACTCACACAACGGCTCTCATGTTGCAATCACCATCTGTTTCCTGCATCCTGTAACTTTCAACGCTTTTCTTTGGTCCTGATTTCATCCAACGAACATGGCCGAGGCAGCAGTTGCCATAGGAGCCTGGAGGGAGAGATCAAGGTACTGAAGGTGAGGGAGAGACAATCCTAAATCACGGGTCTCACAAATCACTATTAATTCAACCACGTTTCTCAGATCTGAAAAAGCTGCAGGGCTAAAGCAACATCGTCCAGAAAAATCCCAACTTCCCTATTTACAAGTACAAGAGATTCATTTTGGGAACAGAGATTGAGTGTTCAGCATTAACTAATAACAAAAGTGACGGGGATAATTTATTTAGCTCTCTATTACTCTCTATCTTGCTAACACTCTCTCTCTCACACACACACACACACACTCACAGATACACACCAGTTGTCTTTCTCACAACTGATTATGGCTCAGTTGGCTGCAGCTCATCTACGCTGTCACTGCCTGCATTGGCATTACTGTTTGTGGTTGTCTCTGGTCAAGATAAGTTCATATTAATATCAAGACTGCATTCAGACTATTAACTGAATGAATACATTATGAAGTATCCAAACAATTTTCGTGACTTTATTTTTGATGTTTTGTCTAAATCTACTGGGTTGGGGACTGAGACTCATGTTCTTAGTATTTCTAAAACCTGACTAAAGCTCTGTAGTAACTTGTAATTGAGGTAAGGTTTGTAATTTGCCATCTGTCATATGGGGAAATTTGTTTTTGTAAAATACCCTAATGGTGGTTTTTAGACATAAATACATTAAATACAATAAAAACAGTAATTTCCTAAACAAATTATTGGGCATACTTTTTCTTTTCCACTTAATTAAAGTAATGGGTGTTGCTTTCTATTTGTCAAACCTGTCACAAGACTGCCACATCAAAGTGGTCTATAATAGCAAGCCTGGACAGACTACACTTTGGTATGATGCATTGTGGTAAATGGTTTTGAGCAGAATAATTCACCTCCTTGAAAGAGAAGAATTAGCAACAATATAAAAGGAATGTGGATTGTGAAATAAAGCTGCGGACACAGTTCTACTTGTGGCCGCAGCGGGACTCCACATATTCTCCACAGTCATTTACAGAAATACTCAGTTCCAGTTTTACGATGTAAAATGCATCAGTTTCTTGCACAATACTGAGCTACTAAAAAATGCTCTGTTAACTATGCACTAAATATGTGTAATCTAATCCCAACTTGCTGAATAAAATCTGATCCATTCCACTTACCCTGTGCCAGACTCAGGTACATGCAGGTGAGGAGCAGAAGAAAGAAGAGAGCTTGGAACTTCATGACTGTTGCTGCTGCTGTTCTTGTTGCTCGCTGCACAGAAACAAACCAAACAACATTCAATCAAAGGGCAAAGCTAAACAGAACATGGGAATTAGAGTCCCCCACCCCCCTGTGCTAAATTTTGGTTAGTTGTGTATAAAATTTTCCATCACAATCCCCTCTATCTGCACTCCTGATTAAACATGTTGAAATCTGTGTCAGGTTTCCAGCTGTGTGCAGCTGTTTCATCTCAAGCGTTCTGAGTGTTGTTTTACGGGAACCAAGTGAGTTTGTGGTCAGTCCAGAGTGTATCTCTGCAGCTATATCTGACATCTTATCTTAAACTCAATATTTGAAGCACATGACAGCATGTTCAGGATCACAGAAGCACCAAGAACAACATGAAGGGATCGTTTCATAAGCATGCAGAGAAACCTACCTGCTGAGTCTGAGTATTTCCCAAAATGTCCTGGGAGAAAAACTTTTGTCCTGTGCAGCTTGTGGGGGCTCTGTCCTCTTATAGTGCACACATGAAATCTGCCCTCCCCTCACACAACTCTATACTTTACCACACCTCCTCTGACATGTCAACACTTCAAGTTTTACAAGTGCTCAGTAAAAGTGCAATTTGATCATGATGCTTGGCTCAGGCATGTCACTCACTTTCTCTCTCTCTCTCTCTCTCTCTCTTTCTCTCTCTCTCCCTCTCTCTCTCTCACACACACACACACACCAATACCACCCAAGTACCTCTGATGTAACTGCAACATGTTGTCTCCGGTTGTCTTCCAAAGCGTTCATACATTTCGACAGTGCTAAGTCTGTGTAGTTAATTGTATTATCTGGCTCATGTCCCATATACAACAGTGCCTTTGGAGATAATATCTTGGTGCCAAAACATTACCCCAAAAGTCTTTCATCAATAAAGACAGAATATGATAACATATATCCAGACACAGCATGCCTAAATGGAAACATAATAAATTGTGTTGATATGTTTCCATCACATTCAGACACATTGGGTATCAATGGTAATGTATACACAGTGTATTTAGGATATGATCATAATTTTGCAATTGAAACCACAGGAAATGAAGTAAAATCCTAATACTTTGATACCATTTAAAATGTTTATTCTTCATTGAAAGGTCAGAGGTCAGCTGTGGTGTAACACCTGGGAGAGATGCAGCCCGGCGAATACTTTCTCACACAAAGGCTGACCTAATTTGATGGTACTAAATCTGTCCAGATGTTTGACACCGTTCCAAAGTTGGTTTATTGTGTGTCTATTAAGTATCATTTACATCCAATGAATGATCGGTTATCAACATCAGTTCCCTCTACAGCTGCATTCATTTAGTGTGCTTACCCTGCTTTAAATCCTATTCCACAGAATGCTGAATCCATGAGATGTGCATTTGTTAACTGTGGTGCTGCTCCAGTAAATTAATCTCTTTCCTGAATAATGAACATTCAAGATAAGATATTATGAGATAGTGGATGACCTGGCAGCAGAGTAGGGTGGTGGGGGAGTTTAGGTCCTTCAGCCTTGAGCAACCCTAATCCCGCAGTGGGTAGTCATGTAACTTAAAACCAAACTCCTGCCTTTTAAAAAGTTTACGGGACTGATGCCTCTTCTTCATGCTTTCCAACTATAGCATGTTGTTTAGTCTGCTAGTGGTAACCCCTTCAATACTTTGGTTTGGGGTGTTATTATAGTGGTTTTGTTGCCAAAAGAAATGTGCATTTAACAACCATTGACAACCATTGATCCTAAATCTTCCAGCAGGGTTGAAGCCAGACTTTTTGGAAATACTGAAGTCATTAATCCAAGTCATTCCAGTGTAACACCCCCACCCCCCCAGAAATATATTATATTAAATATTTAGATTTTAACTGTTCTGTAAATTGGGCGAAAGGCAGAGTGGCAGAGTACAACCTCTACAGGTTGCCAATCCATCGCAGGGCCACACATTGACAACCAGTCACACTCACACCTAAGGACAATCTAGGGTCACCAACCTAGTCCGTAGCACCTGGAGAGAACCCACAAGAACATGCAAACTCCACACAGAAAGGCCAGGGCTACCGGGGTTTGAACCTGCAGCCTTCTTGCTGTGAAGCAACAGCGCTAACCACTGCACCACTGTGCCCATGCCCTCCTCTATACTGAATTTTTTTAAAGAAAATGAATATATCTGAAAATAGTGGAATCAGCCTACCTAGAATTGTAAAACATATCTAATCTAAAGTTACTGAAAACTCCAAATTCCTGGTAAAAAAAAATACAAAGGATGTGACCCCCAATGAGAAAATGGTTTGAAAAAGTATGACTGTTACTTGCTATGTAGAGAAATATGTACTGAAGAAAGAGTGAAGTTTTGATAGCTTACTCCTTCTTGCACTCATGGTCATCTTACCCCTGCGATGATTTAATGGCTTCCAAATATCAGTGTTGACTTCGCCTGATGATGTTTGTCTGAATCACAAATGCAGTGCTGTAAACCACTCTGGATATACAGTATGTGTCTACCAAATGCCAAATGCACTGCTGGTCTACTATTAAAAGACTAAATATATGAAATAAATGATATGGCCAAAAGTAGGCAAAGAGCACAATATTACACACTTACATGATCGTCACATCTCATTCGAAAAAGGGGGACATTAATCTTCTTCTATAACAGCCTCCCCTCTTATGGGAAGGCTTTCCAGAAGTGCTTGGAACCTGGCTGCAGCGATTTCCTGCCATTCAGACACCAGAGCATTAGTGTGACCCAACACTGATGTTGGGAGATAAGGCCTGGCCCCCAGTCTGTGTTCCAGTTCATGTTGACCTGGCTTTGTGAATTAATGATAATTGTTATGTTCCCAAACTATAAAAAAAAAACAAAAGAAAAAGAAAATGGAAAGTACCCACATACTGCTATCTCATTCGACAGCAGCACACAACATCTGTGAATTAGTTAAGTGACAGTCTGCATAATCTACATGTGATTACACAAGGCCCACACAAAAATCACATCAGCATTACATTGAAATGCAAACAAAGAAAAACAAACAAAAAAGCTTAAAATATATTCTCAAAATGCTTTCTATATGTACAAATTCAAACACTTTAGAGCTTCACAGGGGTGCTCACAGTCAAATTTGTAGTCAATCATGTCAACATAAAATCAAAAGTAAACTATTGCCAAATAATTGGAATCAGACTATTGTCTAATTGTGTAATTGAATGCTGTATCATTAAGATTTCCCTTTATTGAGACGAAGAGAAAAACAGTCCCAGGACAAACGAGTACACAAACGTACTGTGTGTAGACAGGAATGTTCACCAGTGGTGGAATAAGTATTTAGATCCTTCACTTAAGTATCAGTACCAAATTCTAAAAATACTCTATTAAAAGTACATATAAAAGTTCAGAGGTATGAGCAGTAGCACTGAATATAGGCCTACTTAAAGCATTAAAAGTAAAAGTACTCATTGTGCAGAATGACCCTTCTCATATATAATTATATTTTATATTATAACTAATGATTAACACACTAGCAGCATTTTAATATTGTAGCTATCCAAGATGGGTTAGAATATTGGAGCTAATTAAGCTGGAGGTAATTTTACGTATTTTAAATACTAATGGGTGGTTGAATTTGAATTTACTATATAAACATGCATTGTATTGTATATGTTTATCGTGAATTTAATTTGCAGTGTAGTAACTTTTGCACTAAATGTAGTGGAGTTTAATTTATTTATTTATTTAAAAGGGCTGGTACACAATGAACATTTTAGTGTAAATATAAAAAGTGTAAAAAGATTTAGCCAGAAGGCTCATTTTCATCTGTAGTCTCAAGCAGGTCATTACATTACAGAGGTCAATATAAGAAAAGTACAACGGATAATAGTAAGAATAATACCACAGTAAAATCACATATAAATATATATTTTCAAATGTAAGTAAATTTGTTGTAAAGTTCAAGTTATTAAGATGTGCAGTTTAAAGTGCTATTCTATGAAAATAAGTGCAATTCAATGTATTTAAGTGCTATTCTGTGCAGTAAAGTGGGACCACACAACAGGGTAAAAAGTACAATATTGCTCCCTAAAATGTGTTTAAGTAGAGGAATAACGACGCATGGAATATAAATACTCAAGTAAATCACAGGTGAATTAAACTTAAACACTTGTATTTAGTTAAAGCGTTCACTGTTGTCCTATGATAATTGACAACACTACACCACCATCTAGCGGTCAGGCATGGAACTGGGCCGAATTCAAAAATCCAATCCATTGATCCAGGTTTGTGTTCCGGACGTAGCCGGTTAACTTACTCCGTGTCATCCTGACCAGGTTTTACGGGACAGCCACCGACACCTCCGTGTGGGCGTGACCGACCGGCTTGCTTCCACAACAGCCACCAAACCAGCAGGTCAGTCAGCGGTGAGTGCAAGTCATCCTGACTAGTGTTTTTTTTTTTTAACAGTAGCGGGGCTGTGTCATTGTCTGCTAGTTATCACAGCAGCCGGTGGCAAAGCGAAAGCACTTGCTTGTGTCAGAAGCAGACGCCGATTAGCAGCTTGTTAGCTCGCTAGCAGAAAACCACATGGATCCTCAAAACACCAACATGAACACGGAGGCGAAGATGCTGCTGAACCACGCAAAGACTCTCAGGCTCCACACCGGGAATCTAGTCAACCGGAATCGCCTGAAAAAGAAATGTCCGTCCTCTCCCAGCGAAGAGGTAAGAGACCACGCAGAGCCGACCCAAAGCGACGACAGCCACCGCAGTTAGTTGTGTTGTGCTGATGTGACAGTGTAGCTTATTAGCTTAGCCTTTAAGTTAACGTTAGGCTACCTGGCTAAATATTTATCAAGCTAACGATACCAGTGTGTGTAATAAGATAGGGATATATTTAAAAAGAATATATTTGTACCTGTCGAGGTCCATAGTTAGAGGGGTAACATAGCTTGAAAGTTTGAGCCTAGTATGTCATGTTGTTTATGTGATGAAAGCATGTATTACAACAAACTTTAGGTGAATAGTTTACAGAGAGTAACCTCTGGTGAATGATTGCTGTGAGCTGCAAACCTGGAAAGATCAGAAAGGTGATCTGGATCACCTGCAGACAGCTGCTCCACTGGAACAGTTTGTTTTTAGTTTAAACACCAAAACCAAAGAGTCAACATATTCATTATGTTGTACTCAAAAAACATATTGATATGATCATATGTCAGTCAGAAATTCAGTGCTACAACTACATATTTTTCACATTGATTAGCCTAATATTCTATTTTATTTAGAATTGAATAGACTTACAATAGCATATTCATTGTTTAGTAAGTAAATAATAATGCTAAAAGCCTAAGTTGATGTTTTCCAGTAGCCTGTTTTGTCCAGTCAACAATCAGAAACCCAAACATATTAAATTTATACAACACAGGGGGAAGCAGCACATTTAGGAAGATGTAGCCAGTGAATCTTTTGCATTTTGCTGACAATT